CAAGAGAGGATTCCACTAACAATTGCTCTATGATAGCATGGTTTGTGAAAAAATTTAGTACATTAAGACAATTTTCACCTTCTATGAGTATAGCACCATGGGCATTACCTATGTTCTCAGCAGGAGTAATAGGTGCATTGTGAAGTGATGGTTCTGAATTTGCATATGAGGTTGTGAGCTCCTCATTTTGTTTCATGTCATCATCTCGCTTATGTACATTATCCTACAAAATGTTAGTCATAGCAAGAGGAATAACAACAGACTCTTCCTCTAAATGGTGCACCTCATCATATGAAGTCAAAACAGGAGGTGGATTAACAAAGGTTTCTCACATAAGAAGTTTCATATCATTCCAAGTTTGAGGCTTATCAAAAGGATCTAAAGACTCCTACCAAGATAAAGCAGAATGTTGCAAAACACTAGCTGCATTTTTTACCTTTCTCCATGGACACATAAAGCGAGTAGCAAATATGTTATCTATGGCAATTTCTCACTCCATGTACTCATCAGCACCTTTACCATCATAAGTCGGTGGATGCGAACAACCTGTCATTGTTAGAAGACAGCAAAAGACAACACAAAAGTATTATCCCTATCAAATGACTACATGGTTGCAGTGGTGTCACTTTTCACAGCAAGTGGAAGTGCCTTACCAAGCTCTTACAAAGTTCCTACCAATGCAAGTAGTGGACGGTACAACCGGCGGCTGGTTCATGATACCTATGAGGCAGTAGTACCGAGATTGCAAGGGCCTTTATCTGTACTGATCTGAAGTATATATGTGGAGCTTGGGAGGCTTAAAATATGGTAGCAAGGAATAGTAATAATTTAATTTAGAAATTGCAAGATTGAAAAGTAGTCCCAAGCTAGTCTATGCTGTCGGCCTAAACTCGTCTCGGACCTAGTTCAAGAAAGCAACAGTAGAGCTCGGCACAAAGACTCAAAGGATGCAAGCACTTCTAAATTGTTTTTTTTCACTTTCTTTTTTTTCTTGCTCTTTTTTTCTCTTTTTTAGGGTGCAGCTTTTTTTGCACCTTTGCCTTTTATTCTTTTTTCAATCAGAAAACCCAAACTGCAGCAATATATTACAACTCAACCTAACAACAAACTGCACTCTACAGGCAAGGAACAACTAGAAGATTTTATGCAACAGGACAGGTTGAACTACGCTGCTCAAACACAAGGTTATAGGCAGTCCAAAGCTTCCAGCACTGAATGTAGAGTTACTAGCCAAACGTGAGGCAGGCTCCCTGCTATGCTTTTTCTAAAAATGCCTCCTTGTTTTTAATTAGTGCATTAGTAGATTGGAAACTTCAACATAGAGTCAAAAAGATTATAGGACTCTCTAACCAAGTAAACTTCTTCTTTTGCAAAAAATATGCTGACCAGCAAACTCAAAGCGTGAACAAGGCCAGATATGAACGAGACCTAAACACGGCAAAACAATGACACACGAGGGATGACCGTTCAATAGAGCAAACTGAAATTAAAATAATGCAACGGCACAACAGGTGATAGGATAAGGAGAAAACAAAGATTAATACAAATATTTTTATGGGGCAATTTTTGGGATTTATCGAACAAAGACAAAACAAAACTAGGATAATGATAAACCTAACGGTAATACCTGAAGCTCTGATACCACTTAATGGGGACGGGGATCCCGATCTTCCGTAAGGTAGAGGTAACTATCGTTGTGGCGGAGAATGACACACCGATCCGACTTCAGATAGAAAGATCGAACCCTGCAATCTTAGAACCATAGCTCCTCTGGTTATCAACCAAGTCATGGACCAGGTTGACCTCACCAAGAAGGCTAATCCCCTGCCTGTGCAATGAAGAACACAAGCAAGAACAAGAAATAACACGACCAAATTGTAGATGAATGATTAATCTCATGAAGTTGGGGTCTCACAAACCGATAAACGTCGAAACTGTTCTTGATAGAATAATCTAAGCAAAACCCAAAAATCTAATGATGGTGGCGACATATAATTATAAAGGTCTTAGGGTCGTCGCCTACCCTAGACGTGCCCCCTAATGGGCCCAAACACGATGCACGGTCCAACGGACCAAAAGGCGGTGTCGTAGCACCCTGGCAGATTCTGGACACTGAATTGTTTTGACGATTTCCGTAGATTTTGAAGGGCTTTTGACGTGAGACCACTTGGATTGGCGTACTTATCAAATTAGCTTTCCAATCACATATGGATCATCGAAAACAGAGTCTGGATGCGTCCTGGATGACTAGTTTAAGGCAGACTGGTCCTGGAGGCCAAGGCAGACTCGAAATCATGTTGGACCGGGCCTCCTGTTTCTGTTGGATGTCCTCACTGGTCATCATCGCCTCCACCTCTTCCTCTAAGTCCCTCATGACACTCTCCAATGTTCCTAATTAATATAACATCATTAGGTAGTAATCTATTCTCAAAACTATGAAAAGGATCACTTAAGAACGAGCTCACCCCTAAATTAAGTTGTCGCCGACAGTGGAGCAGCACCCTGACAGATTCTGGACGTCCACTTGTGTCTATGATTCCTGTTGACTCTGATGGAATTTTAAGGTGGTACTGCTGTCATTGGAAGCTCCATGAAATTATCTTTCCATCCATATAAAGAACGCCCAAAACAGACACTGTTTGCGACCTAGGCATCGTTTTTAGTACGTTCTGCTCCTGGACTCTGAGACCGGCTCGAACTTTAGTTGCTTTGGGCCTCCACCTCGGAGACTCGAACCGAATTAGCCTTGGGCCTCCTTCTTGACTTGAACACCCTTGCTGGCCTCCTAACCCTCCATACCATGCGCCAAACATGGTCATATGCATGGGTGTCATGTCCTCATCACTTTCCGCATCATTGAAGCATACACCGGAGGCCCCTCACAGGACCGGCCGGTGGAAGCAGCTATGCTCGTTCGTCGGTGCCCTGAACAAGGTGGGAACCCTAGTTCTGTTCAGACTCTCGGTCTAATCTTCAGAGATGAATCAAGGAGCCCCGCTCCTATCTCTCTACTTCTCTTTCTGATCTGCGGCGACTTCGTCGACAAGCTTCTCGTCCTCCTCCATTCTGGTAAACAGGGCCAGTGAGGGTGGTGCTCCATACATGGACATCATGCCCTGGTGAAAGGTAAAAGAGCTGGTGACGGCCAGCTGCACTACGCGCATGGGCTACATGCCCCGGTTAAAAATGAATGCATTGTGAATATGGGTCTCATGCCCTGGTAAAGAGTTGGCCAGCAATGCCACGGCCGCGCGATGCCTGTGGGTCTCGTGTCCCGCTAAAGATGTAAGAGGTCCACAAATGTGCCTTGGTGACATTCGGGTTTGGACGCGTGTTGGCTCCATCCCCATGGTTGAAATTTGGGAACGACGTGTTTTGGCTCCGCCCGGTCGTTCATGGTCAAATTGGTATGGACACGATTTGGCTCCATACCCAAACAAATATGCATATGTTTTGGCCACGGACCCGCCGCCCTATTTTCATACCATGCATTAAAGAAAACAAATAAATTTTATGCTACGGCCATAAAGAAAGTTTGTGTGCTAGTTTATATCAAATCAAAGAAATAGCCATATGTGCACTAGAAATTATGCCAAAAGAAAAGACAACCATGTACTGCAAGTAGAAATCTTCAGTCCATGCATATGCAATACGCCGGAAGCACTGCTAGCTGCCAGGCAATTTCCGGCACAAAATCAATCATCATTTCCATGTTAAATATTTTAAACAAAAGAAAGATCAAACGCATTGCATGGTTCATCTCCAAACAAACCCTTTTGCAACTTAAGGTTGCATCCTAGTATACTGCATGGCTAGCACCTGCTTGCACGTAATAAAGTATCCCAGTATACTCCCTCCTGCATGCATGTGTGCTATTGTTTGCCTAGGCAACTGCACAAAATATAATATGATGCCAAATAAGTGATCATATCCATGAAAAATAATTCTAGCAATAAATCAAATTAAATAGCATCGTATATATGCTAAAATAATTCTAGCAATAAATAAGTGATCATATTTCCAAAATACATTGCCATGAGCATTTGCACCTTCTCTTGATTAAATAAATCAACCACATCAACCACGGCCAATCCAGGGCTGCATTAACCCCAAATAAAATATTGCAACACATGATGAGTGCATCATACATGTCAAAACATGCGAATCCATAATCTTGCATGATATAATGACTATGTCAGATCTAGTCTTTAAGATGAATTGCTTGCATACATACATGATACTATGCACCAAAGAAATGTCCGACATACAAACAAATTATTTCTTCCTGGTTGTATATGAATATGTGATATGGTCAAGATGTCCCATGCTGAGTTAGCTAAATTTAGCACCATATCATGATCTGAACAAATGACAATATATTCACAAATGCTTTGCATAGATTAACTACATGCATATCATTGGTTGCTGAAAAGCTTAACAGGCTAGCGACCAATCGTATAAGGAGTATATGTTAGCTCCTCAATAAATGAAAATGTCATGTTTAAATAAAATAACATGCATCAAGTTCAAGCCTATGCCAAGCATGCATATTCATCCATCCAAGACTACAAGACTGAAGACTTTGTTTTCATTTTGTAGTTTGTAATAGGAAGCCATATGATGTAATCTTATTCTTTATGTACTCATGTTGGAATTCTTAATCAGGGGTGTTCTCTTTGGAGATGTAATTAACATAATTTTTATGCAAATATAAGAATTATGGAAGTATGGACTCGTAATACCTGCTCTTTCTCTTTTGTCCCAATTAAATTTAGCCAAAACCAAATTTGTCTCTGCTGACGTGGAGACAGGTCATAGCCGTCCGTTTCCTCGCCATCAGTAAGGGCCCCCTCGGCGTAGATAGTCTGCTCAACGGCCAAGACCTATCTCTTGGTACTCTGGGTAAGGTCCAGGGCTCGAGGAAACAAGCAGTATGGTTCCCTCCTAACGTGCTCATGGGCGTCACGCATCATGCGGTGAAGGGACAAACGCGAAATAGACTAGACACAAGCTGTGATGGAGATCTCCACCTGTAGCTCCTGGAAGACATGCAGCTCCGGCAGAGTCTCACTCCCAGGAACCCTAAGATGGATGACGATGTGGCCTTGTAGTTCATCGGGTCCTAGCTCACCACGATAGATGTACTCAACCTTCTTGGTAGGGACACCAAGCTCCTCGAGGACGTCATAGAGCATCTGAGCAAAACCTCGATAACTCAAACCATCGACGGGAAGCTCAACTGCTAGTGCCATCTACAAATCGGTCCATAAAAAGGGAATCAGTGGACTAGAAAAAGATAAGCCATGCATAAAAAGATGCAAGGTCGGTACGTATAACCAAAAAAGACAAGTTCTACTCCTATTTCTACCGTCCAATCCTAAGGGTCTCATCCTAGGGTCAAGTATGGCTCTGATACCAAACTGAAACGATCCCGATTTCCTCGAAGGGAAATCCACATATTCAAAGTATAACGTGATAGTCCCAGGTGATCATCCCATCACATTATCAAATAAAGTTGATACCATAGTCATACATCGAATACATGTTTTAAAGAGAGTACAAATAGCAAGGTTTACTCATTATTACATCGCCACTTGGCGGAATCACTCAGAGCAAGCAACATCCAGAACAACATCAAGTAGAAAGGCAACGGACGTCGACTCCATCTTCTCAACCAAACTTGAGCGTAGGAACAAGACCTCAAATCCTCCCAATCATCTCCCTGATAGTCGTACTCGAGCTCAGAACCTGTCAAACAATTATCAGTGCGATTTGTACTAGACACTGGCTCCCACCATATGCTTTATGTTTGCTTTGTGATAGTGGAATGCAAGGGTAGAGCAATAGACCTATTTGTGGCTGTAGTTTCCTATGCGAGTATGTCAACTTTTTAATAATAATAATTCATCATGTTTTAACTCACCCACACGTTCTTCCATCCCATCACACACATCTCACCACTCTCACACTCTCTAGGTGACAAGGACGACTCCCGCTTGTACCTTGCCTCATCGGCCAAAGCCAGAAATCAACACAAGAACCCAGGGGGAGAGAAGAAAGGACTCCACTCACTAATCAAGGGAAGCGTAGGTCATTGGAATGTCCATATCCGTGGACATGGCTATACGTATAGCTCGATCAACACTACATAGCGTGTACACCTAGAACCACAAGATCACCTTCATCGGCGGTGCCCCGCCTAGGCTGATACCGAGCTACCTTCCAACCGGTGTGATGCCACCCTACCACTTAGCCCTGGCCCACCCCAGAGTCCATTGAGACACTGAGACTATAAGACATAGTACCAGGCCCTAGAGGTCACTATGCTATCTTAGGAGGGTGTGGGCCATACGTGTCGTAGACTGACCAATTTATAAGAGCACAAGTACAATGGCAGCCCACAAGCGGTCGCACTGTCATACTTGAGCCCATATAAACCCAGTAGTATGTTGAGTACCATGATGGGTCTTGATAAACGATCCACAAACAACCAAGATCGTACATGATTCAACATACATGTCACATATTATATAAAGTTCACAGATACATTTCATCCATCAGAGTGCGGAATAGTTGTTACAAACCTAGTTTGATAGATAGTAGCGGAAGTAAAGTAAAGTTCGAAAGTAGCATTTCCAACATGGTTCAAATACAGTGCCAGCATAGGATCACAATCCATAAAAGCATAATAGAGGGATTATTAAAGATGCCCGCCCAAGGCTCACTCCTCATCCACAGTGGGATAGAAGCAATTCTTGCAGTATCCATGATATACTGTGCCATCTGCAACAATGGGAATAAAACCCTGAGTATGAGAAGGTACTCAGCTAGACTTACCCATCATAAACCAGAAATAAATTGACTCCAAGGATTATGCAAGGCTTTATAAGTGGGGGTAGCTTGACAACATTTTGCACAAAAAACGATTAACTCAGTTATACAATTATGGTTCTGTCATCAAGTTAATTATAACTATCCATCTCTAGATTAGGAACTATCCTGTGCTAAACATGTGATATATCATTTTAAGAGCATACAATAGTAACCATAGCAGGTATAGTAATTTCATGTTTATCCAAACCATCACATTCCATAATACAATTACTACGATGCTGGAGCAAGCCAAGTTTCTCACTATCTGGGAGAGACGGCGATTCGAATCGATTTCAACCAGCTGGGAATTTATTCCTAACACAAACATAGGCAGACCAGATGAACGATCACCTTAGGTCACCTTTGGTACAACTCAAGTCCACATTTTGTGGGTTCGCCCAGCGCCGCACAATAAGGGACAACCAACTGCTAGGACGTTCAGGCCTAGCCTACCCTTGGGCTCACGTCTGGCTCCCCGCACATCCTTACTACCATCCAGAGTGCGCACTCTTATAGAGCGAGGCCCGGCTTGAGTTGAGCTACTCAGCTTCATGGTCGAAACAAGTTATCCGGCCAGCTAAGTGATAGGCATGCGTTCAATCTTGTCAAAAAGTTCCAACAACGGTACGGTCCTTAATCGGCAGAGACGGAATCACATGAGTCAACCTACACATAGACACCACTCGGCCTCCATTTACTTTACCCCATGGTTCTTTTCCATGATAACAAATATAGCCAACCGTGCCTCGATATCCACCTATATCTCACAGGTGACAAGAAATCACCCGACTTCTACCGGTCTAAGCAGAGCTAAGCATATATTCGATCCTAGACCTACACAGCGATAAAGGTGTATATATCTGTATAAGGTATTTCCATGCATCAAGTGTTTTCAGTCAACTCTTATAACCTAATGCATCAATCATAAAGGACTCAATTAATATTTTGTAAAACACTGGGAGACTTAGAATGCTCCGGGGCTTGTCTTTCAGAAAAGAAGTGGGGCGGTAATCAGGGCACTCTAGGAGCTCTTCTAGGGTCTACTCCTCTTCTTTGGGAGCTATGGCTTGAGGAATCTCCTGCTGGTCCCCTCCCTCTTCTTCGTTGAATTCCATCAACGTTATCTCCTCGGTCGACCCTATATGCATGATCATGGAATAAGATATTGCAAATGCATGTGTGACGACACGTATAATATGATAAGAAGTGATTAATGCATCCTCGTAAGTAATTTCAACAGTATGGTGTCAAAGTAATAATAAGTGCATCCTATTTTACTGAGTAGGTGCATATCTCTTCTCGATTATTTAATTAAACACTTCTACGATTCATTTACTAAACCACAAAACAGCAGCTACTTGTTTTCACCATAACTGAAGTTATATACATCGAAACCATATGATTGTGGAGATTCTAGAAAGCTTATGAAATTGTCTACAAAATTCTTTTAATACTCTTAAGGTCATTCAACAGTTATCTAGGTCAAACAAATCAGTCAAGCATATATGTCCAGAAAGTAAACATTTCGGACAACAAACTTATAACAGCTACAACTCTTAAACCCTAAGGCTTATGACCATGAAAATTTAACAAAAGGTAGATTAGTAAATTATCTACAACTTTGTTATTAACAAGTTTTACAGCAAAGACCATTATCCACATGAAATCATCCACACAATCAAAACTATACATGCAACCATCTTTTTGAATTACAAAGTAACAATTAATTAATTGCATACAACCAATGGCTTCTAAGCCTTACTATGAACATCAATAGTTACTATACATCATAAGCATCATAGAAAACATCATGGTCAACCCCAATTTAATTACTTAAATGCCTTTATTAATTTAATTAAATAATTCAGGTAAATAACAAACATACACCAAATGTGCACAATAAATTCTCATAAAATTACAGTGGCTTTCTAGTGCTCACGGTTGACTACCGCCAAAATTTCATACAAATTGCACATGTATAACATCCTATGCGAAAATGACAAGCTAGCAAGGCCAATTTTAGTGAAAATAGTAAACATAATAGAAAAGTGTCAAACAATAGATTATATATTTTTCCTAGCTTCCTATTAGTGCCTTACTACTGTACAAAAATTTCCATATATATATATATATGTTACATATTTTTATCCCTACAATTTTCCTCAGAAAATACCATTTATTAATAGATAAATAGAAAGACCATATTTAAATCAAGTTTACTGCAAGTTTAATATTTTTCCTAGCTAGAGCATGTCAACACAAGTCTAACAAAATTAGAATCACAATTTGATGAGTTTTCTAGCTCAAGATATCTAATTTACAAGTTTACTAACATTCAAAAAGCACTTATTTAAATATATTTTAATCACCAAGAAAATATTAGAAACTGTACATTTCATATTTTTACAAAACACTACACTTCATAAGGAGCACAAAAAAATTCGGTTCACCAAAAATGGATATCTACAACTCCACTTATCATTTTTCAAAGTTGCATGCAAATCTGGAAATGAATGAGCTATCTTTTGAAACTGAGTCGCTGACAGCCGGGGTCCACGAAACAGACAGGCCCGCATGTCAGTGAAAACGAAACCAAAGCATGGCGCGGGACGACCGAAGTTCACCGACGGTGAGCTTATCCGGTGAAACGAACTGCACCACCGTGATCTACACACTGAGACGCATCGATTGACCTAGGTGGTGGAGGCGCGGATGCATAGGAGCCACCTCGTCGCCGGCCATGGTGTCACGGCAGCGCGATGCTACGGTACGCCGGCCGTTGTAGGCCGCGGCAAAGCTCGGCGAGAGGCACACGAGATCCGGGGTGACCAAGCGACTCTACTGCTACTACCTAAGCTAGATGAGATGCTCCGACGAGCTCCGGCCACATGCACGGTGGCGCGGAGGTGAGAGCACGGCGGCGCGGGTCGTCGTGTTCCCCGTCGGTGAGACACCCAAACATAGTAAGGTCATGCCACCAGCAAGAATAGATCCTAGACAAGCCCTAACGCAAGGAATCAAAGGAAATGCCCAAGCGAGCAGTGTGGCAGCGAACTCGCCGTGAAGGCGGCCATGGGAGCCGAGATCTCTGGCGAGGATGAAAATGGCGAATACGCCCTCACCGAAGCTCTTCCGGCGCTGCAATCACGTCGAGGAGGTGGAGGGGAATGTGGCGCAGCTATGGGTGAGATGTAGGCGGCAGTGGCATGGCAGAACGAGAGCTAGGCGACGGTGGAGCTACGCGGTGCTCGATGGCTCTGCGCTTTTCCGCGGCGAGAGCGAGAGTAGGCGCTAGAGAGTGAGGGAGTGCGCGTGAGTGGGAATGAGGCGCACGGCTCTCAGATATCAAGCGCCAACAAGCGGTGTCGAGGGCCCAGCG